AGGGTCCTGAGGAAGAGTGGGCCAGAGGACGTGCATCCCCCTTCAGAGCAATGGAGGTTGCAGGGGGTGCCCCTGTCGGCATGGTGGGCTGTGGAGCTGGAGCGGAAGCAGCCGTTCTGGAATGTCCCGTGCCCATGGCCAGCTGGCTCTCAGCAAGAGTACCAGGCCCCTCCATGGGAAAGACCTGTGGGTCCTGAGAGTGGGGTGGGGGTGTTGAGGGCCCCCCTTTTTCTCCCAGCGGGAGTCTGAACGTGTTGCTGAGATTGTGGGGTGGGAAAGCCCTCTGGGTCCTGAGCGGCATGGGTAACTTTTGTGGGAAAGATGAGAGGTCAGCACACCCACGTGTTGTGACTGCATTGTGCGTGTTCTGGGTTTGCCCCTCGAGGGTGTCGGAAACGGAGGCTGTGTTCGTTCTCACTGCACACAGTGTGTGGAGCTTTGCTTTCATGGCTGTACAAGCATCTCTTGCCAGAATGAGAGCCTCATGACTACCGCTGCACTGTGAACGGTCAGGAGACCTACCTCGCCCACCTTGTACTTCGGGGCTTTTTTTCTTTTTGAAGAGACAGGGTTTCACTCTGCTGCCCCGGCTGGAGTGCAGTGGCAGGATCACGGCTCACTGGAACCTCGAACTCCTAGGCTCAAGGGATTCTTCCACCTCTGCCTCCTGAGTGGCTGGGAGCACAGGGGCACCCCACTATGCCTGGCTAATTTTTTAAAATTGTTTTTGTAGAGATGAGGACTCCCTGTTTTGCCCATTGAGACCATACTGGTCTCAAACTCCTGGCCTCTAGCAATCCTCCCACCTCAGCATCCCACAGTGCTGGGACTGCAGGTGAACACCATGCCCAGTGGTGTTAAAGTGGTCTTTGGCACACCGAGGCAAAGGCTCTTGGTCGCGTGCCTTGACCATGTGATGCCAGCCACTCAGGTGCGTGCAATTTAGAATTTGGGTACAAAACTGCTGGATCAAATAGTTTTCTTAATGATTGCCCAATTATAAGTGAGGGATAGAATTTTTTTCTCGTCCTTTCTTACCGATGCATGAAGTAGCTATTCTTGCCCTAAAATACTCAACTTCTCACTTTAAGGAGCCCCAGCCTGAGGAGCAGACTCTTGGAGGGAGGGGTCGAGCCCATGGGGCTCGCCAGCTCCCTGCTGGGAAGGGTCCCTGCCTCCTCTTCCACCTGCAACACACACTCAGATTCATTCTAATGCCATGAGATTGCTGAGGAGGAGAGCATGACAGCATCCACACCCGGAACTGCTGCATGCATTCCCGGCCGCTGGGGCCCTCGGGGGCCTGGGTCTCAGGCGCAGCCCCTGCGGAGGTGCTGCTGGCTTTCTGGGCCTGGGCCCAGGCCCGCTCTCAGCAGCTGACCAGCTCTTGCTGCCTTCTTTCCTTGACAGGGCCCAGCCTGTGTTGTAGGTGGTTGGACTGTTGGGTCCCCGCTCATCTGGTGGCTCCCTGCAGGTCCCTGTGAAATGCAGGCTTTGCCTACTTTAACCAGGCAGCCCCACGCCACCCTCATGCCACATTTCACTCTAGAAATTCATTGGAGAAATAAACCACCCTCCGCAGCTGTCCTGACATGTGCAGACCTGGCCACCCCAGCATGGGTTTTTAGTGACGTGGTGGCCTCACTGTGTGCAGAGCTGATCTTCCCTCTTCCTGCAGCCACGGAAACCCTGTGGCTATGGATTGCTCCTTTCCCACTGGATTAGATGCTGGTGTGACACGATCACCCATGTATTCACCACACTGACAGCTTTGTGGTGCTAAATTGTGCACTGTGACAGCCCAGTGTGTTTGGAAAACAAATATGGGTAGGGGGCAGTTTACATATGTATTCTTCTATTTGGATTCTTGCCTTATTCCACGTTAAATCTGAGATAAATGTTTGAGCTTTAAATTTTCTCCAAATTAAATCTGTCAATATTTCTCTACGGAGCTGTGCAGCTGGTTGTGTAAACAAAATACAAACATTGCATGTTATGCTGAGGAAATGAAGCTGGTGTCGGTTATAGACATTTACTCACTGTGGCATGCAGCTGTCTTTAATGTTTGAGGTAATTTTTAATTACTAAAATTCATTCATCTTGTATTTTTAAATGGCACACTACAATCATCGTTTAGCCGAGAATAAATGTTTTGTGCCATCTTAGCGGAGCGCTCGCGTACTTCATTATGGAGCTGGAGGCCCACAGAGGCTGAGGGCACAGCGTTCTCAGCACCAGGAGGGACCACGCGGGGCCTGGCGGGACCCACGGAGAGAGGGGCACTCCAGCCCAGGCTCTGTGACCCCTCAGGGTAGAAACCATTGACCTGCCCCCAGACATGCAGCCTCACGCAAGGCCTGGCCCTGTCGCCTGTCAGCCACGTTTTCCCAGAATATGTGGAAAATGTTTCTGTGAGCATTCTCGCCAGCATCCTGGGGTCCAGGTTCCTGTCTGTGAGATGGGAATGGTGGTGCCAGCCCACTGGGTTTGTTGTGAAAATCGAAGGAAGAGGCCCCCGGTACAGCTGGTCCTCAACCCACAGCATCCTCAGCTGTGGATCCATAAGAAACTTCGCAGCAAGCACTCTGAGCGCCTGTGGCCACCTCTTCTCACGGCAGCGACACGTGTGGCCACCTCTTCTCACGGCAGTTACACGTGTGGTCAGAGGCCTGAAGTCATCAGTAGCATGTTGGTGCAGGAGTGCTGTGAGCTCTGTGTGTGTGTGTGAGCCGTGTCTGTGTGTGTGAGCTGTGTCTGTGTGAGCCGTGTCTGTGTGTGTGAGCTGTCTGTATGAGCCGTGTCTGCGTGTGTGTCATGTCTGTGTGAGCCGTGTCTATGTGAGCTGTGTCTGAGCTGTGAGCCGTCTGTGTGTGTGAGCTGTGTCTGTATGAGCCGTGTCTGTGTGTGTGTCATGTCTGTGAGCCGTGTCTGTGTGAGCCGTGTCTGTGTGTGAGCCATGTCTGTGTGAGCCGTCTGTGTGTGTGAGCTGTCTGTGTGAGCCGTCTGCGTGTGAGCCGTGTCTGTGTGTGAGCCGTGTCTGTGTGTGAGCCGTGTCTGTGTTTGAGCCATGTCTGCATGAGCCGTGTCTGAGCTGTGTCTGCATGTGTGTCATGTCTGTGTGAGCCATGTCTGTGTGAGCTGTCTATGTAGGAGCCGTGTCTGCGTGTGTGTCGTGTCTGTGTGAGCCGTGTCTGTGTGAGCCGTGTCTGTGTGAGCTGTGTCTGCATGGGTGTCGTGTCTGTGTGAGCGGTGTCTGCGTGGGAGCCGTGTCTGTGTGAGCGGTGTCTGCGTGTGTGAACCGTGTCTGTGTGTGTGAGCCGTGTCAGTGCGTGAGCTATGTTGGTGCGTCTGTGCAGGGCTCTGCAGCAGGAGCTGAGGTAGCCCCTTCATGGGCTTCATTCGAGTCCTGTGGCACCCTGGCAAGGCACGCTGGCTTTTCTGAAGGTGTCCTGCTATCGACATCATGGCTGTGTGTTTTAATCAGCCTTTTGAGGGGAATGCTGTGGCGTATTTCTAAACTTCAAACAGAAAGAGTCACGGCTGTTTCCCATTCTTTGTGTTTCTCTTCCTGCTTCTAGAACTCTTGTCTTCCATGGACGGCTTCCCCGCTTGATTTTAGGAAGAAAGGAATTGTTGGAACTGGCTCTTCTGTCTCTCACCCTCCCCCTCCTCCCCCTGCTTGTCTCCAGGGTCCCTCCTGGCCAATGTCGGCCCCATCTCCACTTTCTTTGGGAGACACTGCCCCTGCTTGCTCAGTGCCCTGTCTGTCCAGCCCAGCCTCGCCACGAAGGAGGTGACCACACCTGCCGACCCTGAGGGCCTGGCCTCATATGGGAGGGGCGAGCTGGGTCACCAGACTCTTAGGGTCGGGCCGCACACTCCCGAGGCCCCGTGAATACTAGGTCCTGGCCCGGCCTCTCCTGGACTTAGTGACCATCCCACACTCGATCTGAGATTGCGCTTTGGCATTCCTGTTCAGCCATGACTGTCCTCCTCCCTGAGGTCAGCGCCGTGCACCGCTCAGGGAGACCCGAACACTGCCTCTGTTCACAACGGTCTCTTGTCCAGCCCTCCTGACCTCAGGCGATCCACCGCCTGGGCCTCCCAGAGTGCTGGGTTTACAGGCGTGAGCCACCACACCCAGTCTACTCCGCTCTTAAATGATGGGATACATTGCTGTTTAGGAAAGGATCTTATGAATCCAGGGGTCCCAGCATGTCGTGGAAGACAGCAGTTCTCATCTTGCATGGCAGGCCAGGGAGGGAGGAAAGGAGGGTGGGGCTGTCATCCTGCAGCCCAGCGTATGCCACCTGGACAGGACTTGGAGGTGTGGGGCCCTCGTGTGCCTCTCACACTGTGTTCCCTGGACCATAGACGGTTGAGTTCTCTGAACAAGCTCGTCGTGACTGGTCGGCAGTGGGTGCCAGCCCTGGGTTCTCTCATGTTCCGTCGGTCTGTCCGATTGGCTACTGCTTTTCCTTTTGTCTTAGTGCAGTGTGGTCTTTCTTGGCTTCAGGTTATTTCTGTGCTGTGGTTTGTGCACGTTAGCCTCGAGCGTGTGTGCTACATGCGTGCTATGTATGCACGCAGCTGTATCATATGTAGTGTGTCACATTCATGTTAGCTGCATTGTATCTCCGTTAGCCAAGAAAGTATTTTTAGGGTATTCACATATGGTGACTCACTCATTTCTCTCGGTGGTTTTCAGGACTGTAACTGGAGACTGGCATGGCCCAGTTGCCCCCATCAGGCCGTGTGCCCTTCACCAGGCTTCCGTCGTTAAGGGTGTAGCTGAGGTTCCTGGGCGCAACACCGGGAGGTGGGTGTCCAGGAGGACACTCGCAGGCCAGCGTTTCAGTGCTCTGGGAATCTCGTGGGTGTGTCCGTTCAAGTCGGCCACTGTCACTGGAACCAGGTGCATCTGCAGTGGCTCATAAGTAAAGGCTAGTGGCATTTGCTGGTTATGCAAAGGGCTGGTGTTCTCTTCGCTTATTTTTTAGGGTGACCATTTTAGCAAGACCTGAGGAAATGAGAATTTCTGGATTGCAGCCCCTTGATGACCTGGGAGGTGCTTGTTAGCATAACTGACTGGTGACTTCCTGTCCTGCCCTCACACTCCCGATCTGAGGTTTCCAGCAAGACCCGTGTGTTTATGAGCTGCTGGAACACCTGTTTGCAGATGGTGAGGAGCCACTTTGTCATTGGTGTCCTCGTGTATAACAGGCCAGTGGCTCTGCTGTCCACGCCTGTGTGGCGTGGCCCCAGGTCTGGTGGCCCATGTGCATCCTTGACCAGAGAATTCTGCTGTGTCCTGTGTTAAAACCACAGAGGCCCCTTTCCAAGTACAGACCCCGCAGTCACCCGGCGTGTGTTTGCATGCCCTGGACATCTCACACCATGCTTGCTTCTCTGCAGAGGCCACAAGAGGAAGCTGAACGAAGAGGATGCCGCCAGTGAGTCCAGCAGGGGGTCCAGCAACGAGGACGAGGGCAGCAGCTCTGAGGCCGACGAGATGGCTGCGGCGCTGGAGGCGGAGCTGAATGACCTCATGTGAGCACAGGCGGCAGGCAGGCGGGACCGAAGCCATCCGGACCAGCCCGCGGTCCACGCGCTTTTTCCCGAAGGACATGTATATTTGCAGAGCTCCACATACAGAAACACATTATTTTACAGAAATAGGTGTTTTTAAGAAGTTTTACTACAGGAAAGTCTACTTTTGTAAGTGACAGGTGTTAAAGGGCCGGGCGTGCTGTGCCAAAGATCTTAGCAGAGCCTTGTGGGGCCCAGGCTCGCCCCGCCTGCTGTCTCTGTGAGGGTGGGTCGGTGTGTTTTCCTGCGTGGCCCACTCTGGCCCCGCCTGCTGTCTCAGTGAGCAGTGGGTGGTGTGTTTCCCCCTGTGTACCAGAGCACATTCTTTAGGGGAAGGCTTCAGGGTCCCTCAAGACATGGACAAGGACTTTAAATGGGACAGCATGTGTGCCAAGTGCCGAGCCCCACACAGTCATGCCTGGAGCACCTGCCACTCCCACCCAGGGGACCCATTTCTGGGGAATGGCGCAACTCTGGGCGGCCTGGAGCTTCCTGTGCAGGGTCCATGCCATGTGGTCTGGGCAGCCACCCTGCCGTCCTCCCACTGGCATCCTGGCGAGGGGGCGTTGCTTTTGCTGGGCAGCCTTTTATGTGTTAGATCTGATGTAAAGTTTCTGTAAATCTATTTCATATCTGACCCACCAGACGGATTTTTCTTTCATTTAATAAAAATCCTTTTTGTAAATTATCTTCTTGTGGTGTGTGGCAGCGGTGGCACCTGGCTTCTCCCTTGCTGGGATCCAGCTCCTGAGCTGAATGCTTATGGGGCGTGGGGTAGGCGGGCTCTGAGCTCGTGGTGGGTTTGTCTGCGTGTGACCAGGGGTGGCAGTTTAAACAGGAGAGGGTCTCACTCTGGCTGCTACTCTCCTTTGTGTGGGAGGAATTTTTCCACAGATCGCACTGAAACATTAAAAATCCAAGAGACCATTGTTGTTTCTAATTATTAGATTTTTACAAAACTTAACCCTGAGATGCCCAAGAAAGCGCTTCTGTTGGGAGCACGTTCACAGGTGGAAAGTGGGGCTCCACCCTGGGCTGTCTGCTCCCTGGGGGTGGTCAGAGTCTGGCTCGCAGCCCCTAAGAGAAAGGCATGCAACAGCTTGTGTGTGTCTGCAGGAGGTCAGGCATGTGGCGGTCTCTCTCTCTTCTGGTCATGCTGCCCTGAGAACCCTAGACCAAGCAGCCTCAGTCGGCAGCTGGAGGAGGAGGGGACGTGAGCCCAGGCTGCTATCAGTCCTGCCAGGACCCCTCGATCTCACAGCCTGGGCTGACGTCCCCTCCTCCCGGCGTCAGTCCCGCAGTGTGATGGGCTCAAGGCTGCACCTTGAGGCTGTGACCCTTCTCCAAAAGCACTCTCCCCTGTGTTCCGACAGCACCCTTACCTGACTGCAGCTCGGGATGTGGCGGGTGTGATGGACGTCTCCGTCCACAGGATGCAGCTCTTGCAGGACCTCTGGGCTCAGGCTGCTTCTGCTGGGTGTGGGGCCTTTCCCGTGGGGTTCCCAAGGGAGGTGTCCTCAGTGGATAGAGGACCCCAGGGGTCCTTGTGCTGTCATCAAGGTATGGTGAGATGGCAGCAGAGGAAAGGCAGCGTGCCAGCCCCAGGTGACTGAGGTACTAACCAGGTTATTTGCAGGGCCGTGTGACGAGGCAGCTTCACCACCCAGCCCACCTGTGGGTTCTCCAAGGTCCGAGCTCTGAGGAGGCCTCAGGGCAGCAGGCGCTGCTCAGGGAGCTCCTCCTGTCCAGGGAAGCAGGATGCAAACTGGACCCCACCTCAGGTTCACTTTCTCTGCAAGCAAGTCAGAATCTAAGATGAATTGGACAGAAAACAAAAATAATGTACAGGTTGATATCCCAAAGAGAGCATAAAATTCTATGGTTTATAGGGGCACAAAACGTGCAGGGAGTGATGTGCTGGGTGGGGGCCAGGGAGGCCAAACGAGGCCTCTGGGGAAGGCTCGGGGACCCTCCTCTCCATCCACAGGGGTTTCTCAGGGGACCCCTCCTCTCGGTCCACAGGGGTTTCTCAGGGGACCCTCCTCTCCATCCACAGGGGTTTCTCAGGGGACCCTCCTCTCGCTCCACAGGGGTTTCTCAGGGGACCCTCCTCTCCATCCACAGGGGTTTCTCAGGGGACCCTCCTCTCGCTCCACAGGGGTTTCTCAGGGGACCCTCCTCTCCCTCCGCAGGGGTTTCTCAGGGGACCCTCCTCTCCCTCCGCAGGGGTTTCTCAGGGGACCCTCCTCTCCGTCCGCAGGGTTTCTCAGGGGACCCTCCTCTCGCTCCACAGGGTTTCTCAGGGGACCCTCCTCTCCCTCCGCAGGGTTTCTCAGGGGACCCTCCTCTCCGCAGGGGTTTCTCAGGGGACCCTCCTCTCCGCAGGGGTTTCTCAGGGGACCCTCCTCTCCGCAGGGGTTTCTCAGGGGACCCTCCTCTCCCTCCGCAGGGTTTCTCAGGGGACCCTCCTCTCCGTCCGCAGGGTTTCTCAGGGGACCCTCCTCTCCCTCCGCAGGGGTTTCTCAGGGGACCCTCCTCTCCGCAGGGGTTTCTCAGGGGACCCTCCTCTCCCTCCGCAGGGGTTTCTCAGGGGACCCTCCTCTCCCTCCGCAGGGGTTTCTCAGGGGACCCTCCTCTCCGCAGGGGTTTCTCAGGGGACCCTCCTCTCCCTCCGCAGGGGTTTCTCAGGGGACCCTCCTCTCCCTCCGCAGGGGTTTCTCAGGGGACCCTCCTCTCCCTCCGCAGGGTTTCTCAGGGGACCCTCCTCTCCGTCCGCAGGGGTTTCTCAGGGGACCCTCCTCTCCCTCCGCAGGGGTTTCTCAGGGGACCCTCCTCTCCCTCCGCAGGGGTTTCTCAGGGGACCCTCCTCTCCGCAGGGTTTCTCAGGGGACCCTCCTCTCCGCAGGGTTTCTCAGGGGACCCTCCTCTCCGTCCGCAGGGGTTTCTCAGGGGACCCTCCTCTCCGCAGGGTTTCTCAGGGGACCCTCCTCTCCGTCCGCAGGGGTTTCTCAGGGGACCCTCCTCTCCCTCCGCAGGGGTTTCTCAGGGGACCCTCCTCTCCGTCCGCAGGGGTTTCTCAGGGGACCCTCCTCTCCGTCCGCAGGGGTTTCTCAGGGGACCCTCCTCTCCCTCCGCAGGGTTTCTCAGGGGACCCTCCTCTCCGCAGGGTTTCTCAGGGGACCCTCCTCTCCGCAGGGGTTTCTCAGGGGACCCTCCTCTCCGTCCGCAGGGGTTTCTCAGGGGACCCTCCTCTCCCTCCGCAGGGGTTTCTCAGGGGACCCTCCTCTCCCTCCGCAGGGGTTTCTCAGGGGACCCTCCTCTCCCTCCGCAGGGGTTTCTCAGGGGACCCTCCTCTCCCTCCGCAGGGGTTTCTCAGGGGACCCTCCTCTCCCTCCGCAGGGTTTCTCAGGGGACCCTCCTCTCCGCAGGGTTTCTCAGGGGACCCTCCTCTCCCTCCGCAGGGTTTCTCAGGGCTTGGGCTGATTCTACCTGTGGGGAGTCCTGCTCGGTCCGAGTTGGCGCCTTGTACTGCTCCTGGTCAAGTCCCCTCTGACTTTTTAGGTGTTAGTGATGCCCTGCAGGGCCTCATTGAACACAGCGTGGAAATATAGATGGGACTTCAAGGGCAGCAAGAATGGGGACCCCTCTGCTACCTATTCTGGCCTAGGGGCGGAGAGGACAGGAGGAGGGTGGCTGGGGCCTGCTGGCGGGAGGGGCCAGGCATTGTGTAGCTTTCAGTATCTACCTGGCCCCCACGTGGGTCTGGTTCCGGGAGGGGCCCAGCCACGTCCAGCTTTCTGGACCAGCCTGACTCTGGGTGCTCTGCCCAGTCTGAGCATCTAGTCTCTCATATTATCAGCGAGTTGATGATGTGTTTGTACCCCCGCCCTGTGTGTCCTAAAAGATGGTTTGTTTGGTTTTTTTTTTTGAGATGGAGTCTCCCTCTGTAGCCCAGGCTGGAGGGCAAAGGCATTTGCATTCCCAGAAAAGACACAAACATCCTCCAGTTGTGCGAAAAGCATCCCATTTCATTCCCACTTCTTCGGGCAGGAAGATGTGGAGGGAGGGGTCAGCCGATGAGCGTGGGGTTTCCCTCAGAGGGGGTGCAGATGTGGAATTAGGCTGTGCTGATGATTACACAACTGAGAATGTACTGAAATTCCACTGAATCGTACACATTAAAGAGGTGAACTCATGGTATGTGAATTAAAATAGTTTTTAAGAGTAAATGACCACCTAGTGACCCAGCGCCCCGTGTGAGAAACAGGGTTCTCGGAGCCTTTCCTGTCCGGTACTCCCCACACCGCGATACCCTTAGACAAATCTTGAGTTTCGTGTTAATCGCTATGTTTTTCTGTGTAACTACCACATGCATATTCACACGTAAGCACTGCACGTTTGGTTTTGCCCATTTTTGTACACAATACGATTTTCAGCTTACCATGGTTTGACCATAGTTTTTTGACTTTAGAGTGATTCCAAAGGGATACATGGTCACTAGAATCCGTGCTTCCAGTATGCACACAGTCGAATCTTACCATCTCAGTTCAGCAGCGAGTACCTCCCGAGGCAGTCGGGTCACAGGATAGCACCTAGCAGGCTTTTGCCGGACGAGTTTGCCCGACTGTCGGCAGACATGAGGAGCCTGACGTGTTTAATGCGGGCTGGGCTCAGCCATGGTGTGTGGAGGGTTAAGTGTTTCAATGCATTTCCAACTTGGGACACTTGGGTTTTTCAGGACGTGGCCCCGTGGTCAGTAGGGAGGGAACCTTTGCTTTCTGACCGGGTGCTTCAGGGCTTTGTCCACGTGCGCAGCGTGGTCTGTCATTGTCCTCCATGCTCGGTGGCGTTCTGTTCCACAGCTTGTTTTGCCAGATGTGTGTTGCTTCTGGCTCTTGCTGTGCAAATGCAGCCCCTGAGCGTTCTTTACATATCTCCGGGGCACTCGTGAATGAGCCTCCGG